ATCCACCTATTTTTAATTCAATTATTAGCGATTGTACTACAAATTAAAGAAATAATAATATCTATTATAATTAAATTATTTTAATTTTTTGGACAAATTTTGAATAAGTAATGTAGGATAAAAGTGATAATCCATATAAATAAGCTGGTTTTATGATCAAAAAAATTAATTAGAAGAAAATTATTTGAATTAAACCTATAGCACAATATTATTAAATATTGAATAAATTATTCATTTTTTATAATACAAATAAGTAGAAAATAGATATCCAAATTCCTCCAAGTATTCATTGAATTAAATTCAAATTGTTAAATTAAAGGATTTTTCAATCATTTCCGTATATAATTATATAATAATAATAAATAAATTAGAAGATAATCAATGATTATAGAAAAATGTTAAAATACGATAATTTAATATATGATATGATTATTCTAAACAAATCATTTTCTAAGGGCTTAGAAAATCTTCAATTTTTCCAATGGACCGTGTTATCTCAATTTTTGAACGTGAACACCATAGTATTATAATTCATCCTAAAATATTAATTTATGGTAATACATTAGCCTTATATTTGAGATAGTCAGATCTGAAATAGTTAGTGAAACCCCATTTGGCTGAGACAACAATCTTTTATCTTCCTGGAAACTTATTCTTTCCTCTTCTCAATGCTTCCATAGCATGATTGATTGAAGCATCTTTGCATCTCAAAGAGTAGAGAATGCTACCAATTTTAACTCTGGCACATAAACCATTTGGTTTACCAAAGGCTCCTCTCATACCGGTTTATAGTCTATCTGCACCAGCACATGAAAGCATTTTGTTGATTCTGAGTACGTGCCATGGATGAACTCTGCATCTAAGATGGAATGCATCTTTTCCAACTTTCTTAATCATGTATTTATTGATGGCAACTCTGCATGCTTCTAAGGCTTCTGATGAAATTTATTCCTTTTCATCTGAAACAATGTGAATGACAGCCTAATTCATATTAATTATTAAGTACTGGGAATTCCTCAACATTAGCCTTCTTTTTTCCAACATCATAGATCTTAATTTTAGCATCTGGGACACCTCTGTTATATCTGGATTTTGGGAATGGTTTACCATTACTCACTCTATAGCATCTTGCTGGTCTTCTGCCCATTTTTATTTAAAAAAATATAAAAGATTAAAAATTTTTTTGAAATAAATCAACCACTATCTCATATATATTTATATTAAATCTATAAATCTATAAATATAAATTTCAAAATGAAACAAAATTACTTTTAAATTCCTCAAAATGATGAGGATTCAGATAGTTAATTTTCATTTAATTATTCTTTGAGTTTCAAAAGTAATGATTGTACTCATTTCATTTAATATACTATTAAAAAAATAAAAAAAACGTATTTCAATTATTAAAATAGATGATATTTACAATTAGATTAGAATATTATCATACAGACTTTGATTTGATTTTATTAATTTCATTCTAATTATGTTATCTTGTTTATAATTTAAATATAAAAATAGAACCTTAAGTTGAAGATATATATTAATTTATGAAATTGACTAAAATGAAAGATATTAATCATCATTTAATTATGTAATCCATTAATTGATCTAATTACATATGAGCTACATTGAACTCTCTTAAATTAGGCTGCTCGGATGCATCAACCAAATATTCAAGTAAATATTTCAGTTCCAAATCATCCATATTATCATTCCATTCTAAAATTGGAATTCCATTATCTATCTAAAGTCCAAAAGAATGGACTAGATTATCAACAAATAAGGTCTTATTAAGATCTAGATCTGTAATAATTCTTAAATCTTTAATAAAAAATCCATTTTTAGTTTCCATACAGTTAGTTCTGTTTAGAATTCCACTAATATACTGTCTTTTTGGATCAAGATAGTTTATAATAGCTGATGCATACTATTATGAAGATGCTGTGTAAATATAGACTGTATAAAATTGTGATAGTTCTTACAAAAAATATTAGGTATATGGTCTAATATTAATACCAATCTAGTATTATGAATTATATTTACTTCAGTTTCACTTCCATCATCATTTAATTAGTTTATTTTGACTTAAGAAATATCTTTTTATAGACTTGCATGAACAAGTGTTTCATCAAGATCCAAAAATATTGTATTCAATATGGAGGGATTATTTCTATTAAGTGAAATCTTTTTCTTTTCAATAAATTAATCAGATGGACCTTTTAAACATCTTTTTGAATAAATTAAACCTCTTTGTGTTATACGTAAATGTTTTTCAAATGTCTCCTCTGATATAGTTGGATTGAATATAAGATGTCTAAAAGGATGATCAATAAGCTTATCTTATTTTGATTCTCCAATCTTTTTAAAATTTCTCATAGAAATTGGTTTGGATTTTATTTATTTCAGTTTTGGGTTTACTTTTATTTTTTCTTCAATCTTTTTCAATTATTCTTCCATCGTTTTTTTCTAGTCATCAATCACAAATGCAGATTGAATTTAATGTTATTAACTCTCTTTCTCTATTATCTCTGGTTCTTCATCTTTATCTCCTTCATTCACTGTTATTATTCTTTAGGTACTGAATCTTGATAATTTTGGAACTACAATCATAATAATAGGATTTACTTATAGCTTATTTCATAGATTCTTGTTTTTGTTAACTTTTATATGTTTCTTCACTTTCATGTGAAAAATTAGTAGGAGTCATACCTTATAAAGGTTTAGGCTTAGGTTTTGGAGTAAAATCAGATGATAATGCAGTATCCCTATCATCCTCACTTTAAAAAGATAATTTTGATCCAGGTGAAGATCGAAAATATGATGATTTAGGACTGGGCCTGAAGTTTAAAAGCTAATCCATAAAATTATTGATTATTTATTGAATAATTCATAAAAAATGTAAAATCGGATTTAAAATTAAAGCAAACTAAAATAAACTCAATGTTGCATCATGAAATTAATGATGTAAAATAAATTAAATTTTATGCATATTTTATTAATTTAAGTTTATCAATAAATTAAATTATATATGAATATTATTTAATAAGAGTACAAAAATTACATATAAATTATAATTATTCATATATTTATACAAATAATTATATTTCTTTACAAAAACTACTATTTATATTTAAAATAATTTCCATCTTTTTCATTTCATTTAACATCCCTTATTATTATTCTCTTTAGACTTTGATTCTAAAATATCAAATTCATCTAAATTTTTCCTAAACATTAATTTTTATTGTATATTTATAATAATTTATTAATTAAATAGTTTAATAAGAAACTAAAAATTTAGTTCATTTGATAATATTCAAAATTATTGAAATCTCAATTAATTCAATTGATGAACCCTTTTTTAATTAATTTATAACTAAATATGTTCACCACTTCGACTTATATACCTTAACATCTTCTCTTCTAAGGTCCTAATAAAGGTATGTTGTTATATATACATATATTAAGTTGAAAGTGGTATTGGGCAAAATGAAAAAAGAAAAGCAATAGATCATTATTCATATGCAATAGATTAGGAAATAGGTAAAGGATTCAGTAGTAGAGTTTATAAAGGAAGAGATGAAAGAACCTTAGAGAATGTAGCTATTAAAGTACAATAATATCTTTGTTTTAGGTGATTGACATGAAGAAGTTGAAGTAATCAATACATACACAATTATTAAGAAATGAAATCAAAGCATTAAAATCCTTCAATCACCAAAATATTCTTAAGCTTTTTGATGTATATTAAACTGAAAATAATACTTATATAATCACAGAATTTTGTGATTCGGTAATTATCCTGATTTTATGAAGGGAGATCTAGAAAAATTTTTACGAAAAAATTTAAAAATCAAAGAACCAGAAGCTATTAGAATATTATAGGCAATAGTTCATGCAATAAATGAAATAAATATTAAAGGTTTTATTCACAGAGATATTAAACCAGCTAATATACTTTTAAGCGGAAATCAACCAAAATTAGCTGATTTTGGATTTGCTATACCTATTTGGTAAGCTAGAATTTAGTAAAGAAATATCAATGTAGGTACTCCTTTATACATGTCGCCATAAGCACTAGGACAGTAGGATTATTCAGAAAAAGGAGATGTATGGGCTGTAGGAGTCGTATATTTTGAGATGCTTTTTGGTAAAACATTTTAAAATTTAATTAGGTAGAACACCTTTTATAGCTTAATCAGAAGCAGCACTATTATAAAATATACTTAATTAATAATTAATTATACCTTAAACACCATTAGTTTCAGAGTTATCAAAAGATTTCATTAAAAAATGCTTATAAAAAGATGATTGTTCAAGATTTAATGTAAAAGATATGTTTGAACATAAAATTATATAATCAAAAAGTTTTTATTATAGTTTTTTATAGGAAGATCCTTTTTAAGATATAACTAATATTACTTAATCTATTAACAACTCTTAAATAAAGAAGAATAAAAGAAGCTAAACTTAAAATTTAAAAAGAAATTCAAACAAAGATTATAGCACTCTTTAAATTGATTTAGAAGGATGGAATGAAAAATAATATGTTTAATAAGAAGTAAGTTAAAGATCATCAAGTTAAAATTAGATGTAATTACCATAATAAAAATTAAAGCATTCTTTAAATACATAATTAAATAATAATAATAATAATAATAATAATAATAAAATTCAATAAAATCATTAATTAAGTGCTTAATTTAAAGCTAATAATGAAATTCTGTTATTTTATTTAAACTATTGTAGATACTTATTTAAGTTTTCATTACATTTAGCCAATTCTAAATTTTTTTAATTTGAAATCAGAGATAAAATTTTGCTTATCTTAGGAAAATGTATAGTCATTAAAATCTGTTAATTATCTTAAATTTTAGATAAAGAAAATAAACTAGATAATTAATTTTAACTTTTAGAATATGATAAATACAAACAAAGTGAATAATATAATGAATTTTGTTCAGCAATTTCTGAATATTAAATAAAATATATGAAGCATTTTTAGAATACTTTGGTATAAGCCATTAAAAATAGTAAATTGTTTTATTTTAATATAAGATTTTTAAATCGATCCAATAATTGGTTCTTCTTGTAATGATTGTCTAAATGAGAGTAATACTGTTTATGAAATAGCTTTGTATTATTTAGATATGGGTCTTAATAAATTATTATTAAATTTAAATTAAATAACAGTACTAAGATAATCTGATAAGATAGTAAATTGTGAAGTAAAAATTTAATAATTTTAGCCAAAATAAATTTTATTTATTATTGAAGGATTGAACAATTGTAAAGAATTAATTATGATGATTTAATAATGTAAATACGATTTTGGAAAATTGTAAAATAGATTCTCATTTGATAGAATAATGAAACAGAAAGTAGATCCAATTAATTATAATTTATCAGAATAATTAAGTTAAAATCAATTTTGAAATTTATAATATTATTTATTTTTTATATACCTTTGAATAGGATGATTTTTAAATTGTATGATATATGAATTATTTAAATAATAAAAAATGTTTATCATTATTTTTCTATAAGTTCTATTTCACTATTATCCTCTTTTTCAGTTGGATAACTCTTAATTTAACGAAGAATTGATTTAAATTGCAAGAACTATTATTTGTTATAAAATTATTACCTCATCAAAAGATGAATAATGATTTCGTTAATCTTAACTTCTAAATAACATAATCCAATTAAAATATTTATCATTAATAAATTTAAATAAATATCTAAATTAAATAATATAATTACGTAACAACACAACCAAATGAGGATAATAAAAGAGTTCCAAAATATTCTTTCAAAGTAAGTTTAGATAAATTAAAAATAAAATTACAATATTCTCTAAATATAATAATATATGTATTTTTACACAACTAGATATTGCATCACAAATATTAATAATAGTTATATGATTAATTTTGCTTTTTCTCTTTTGTTGCTTGATATACATATATCAGTTTTGCGAATTTTATGAGAAATCATTAAATTAAAGATTTAAAGGTATACAAAAGTATTAAATAGTAAGGTATGTGATTTTAAATCAAAGTGATAGCAATTTTAGCTATTCTTCATTTCTATATATTTTTAAGTTGCAACTTAAATCATAAATAAAACCAATAATTGATAAATTATTTATGAAAGGATATTTCTCCACATATTAGATGTAATCAGATGGTATCTCTCATTTTATTATCTTTCATATAACCTTCTACTAGCTATATAATAAATAATTAAATTTACGTATTTCTGTAGCATACATAAAGAAAGCAGTAAAATCAACTATAAATGTTATCCATAATAATTAAGTTTAATTAAAATAATGAAAAATGCTAAATGTTTAAAGAATTGATAATGATAATAAAAGAGCTATTTTAAATTAAATGAATTTTCTAACTGCATCAAAAATATTTCTTCCCCAATCAATTGAATAAATAACAGATGAAAAATTATCATCTAAAATGGAGACACTAATCATATAATTATATTATTGAATTATTTTAGAGTTTTAACAAAAACCAACATCTGCAAGTCTATAAAATGCAGGTTCATCACTATGACTAAAAACTCCAACAACATAATTTAATTCTTTTAATCCTTATATGATGGCCAATTTCTCATCTAGACTTGCTCTTACTAAAACTCTTAATTCAGCAGCAATTTATGCAAAGGAGTCCATATCACCAATTTTAGGTATAATTTAACCATCCTATTTTTTATATGTAATTCCTTTGACTAAATCATTGAAATTCTTTCCAGTCATAACTTTCTTTGAGTCTTTCTAATGTTAATAATTCATTGGTAAAATTCCACATTTCTTACTTAATGATATTGAACATTCTAAACTTTCATTAGTTATCATTCTAACTATTACTCCTGCTTCTTTACATTATTAAATAGATCTTTAAACTCCTTATCTTATTTCATCCTCTAAAGCTATTAATGCAACAAATATTAATTGTTTTTCTAATTATTTTTCAGATAATAATTTCAGATTTATATTACTGTCCATATTTTTATATGCAAAACATAAAGGTCTATAACTTTCTTCTCCAAATTTCTTGATTTAATTATAGATTTATTATTTGCTTTATTCAGTTAATCTTTAAGATATGATTTATAAAATACTTTTGAATTTCTCCTTTTGAATTTATAAAGTCTGTGCAATTTTCTAAAATAATTTCTGGTGCTCCTTTAGTGTATAATATATATTTATTTTATAATTTAATTAGCACACTCATCATTTTTCTATCAGAATTAAATTAAAAATATTATACAATTTAATTTTAATAACTTTTTCGTATAGTAGTATAATCTAATCCTAATTCATGACAATATTCAAGTAAAGCACAATCGATTTCATTACCAAATTTTTCAAAAACTGTAATATCATTAGATCTATAACTAATTTTTGGATTGGCTGTTGAATTCAAACAAATATTCTCTTAAATTAATTAAATCGTTGAATATCTTAATTTTTTAATATCAAATTTCATTAAAAGTTATTCTTCAGCAAATATTTGAACTAATCTAGTATTTCCATTTGTTAAAATTTAACTTTTACTTGTACAAATATTATTAATTCTTCCTAATATTTCACATGAACTAGGTCTTTGAAATTTAATACGATCTCTTTTCATTCTCTTTTAATTATATTAAAGATAAGTAGATACAAATTTAGATAGATTATCATTCATTACCATTAACAAAAGCAATATCGATATTTAACATTACTTTAGAATTGAATGAATAGAATCTATAAAATCAAAGAAGTATTCTTAAGTTGATATATGATAACAATAATTTAAAAACTGAATTATTAAAGGTATTATTGCTAATACAAAAAATAGTTTAATTAATTATTATTGTAAATAATTTAATCTTTCTTGTAAAGGTGTTGTATATTCATGTTGCAAATTCAAATCACACTTTCTCATATGATATGTATTGATTCCAACTGCTAATACTAATAATTATCCATTTCCTTATAACACTTTAGAACCTGAACGTATAAATGGTAGTTTGTTAGTATTTGTATCAAATAATATAGTTTAGTTTGTTTAATTAGAAATAAGTATTCCATCTACTTCAATCAACTAATCCTCACAAAATATAAGTATATCTCCAACTACTATTTATTCAGATGAAATATTAATCACTTTATCATTTCTCTTTAATTTAACTTTATTGTTTTAAAATTATCTTAAATTATTTAATAGTTCCTGATTATCAGTTTTAAATATTCTTATTAGCAATTGCAATAATGAGAATACCAAAATAAATAATGATTCCATTCTTTCCTATCATATTTTGTTTAGGTACATTTTTAGAATTAGTAATCAGCATAGATAATCCTAATTTAATTAGAGTTATAGCAAAGAAGATTTAATGCCACTTATTCTTTATTATTTGTATTACTAACTATTAAATTTAGACAATATTTAAACTTAATATCTAATAGTTTGTGAATCATAAATTTTATGTGTGCCAAACCTATGATAATTCATGATCTTTACTGCTTCTTTCGTTTATTTATATCTAAAACATTTGATGAATCAAGTCCTATCTTTTAATCAAAATAATATATTCAATACCTGTAAATCCATGTCTAACATTTTTGATAAAGAAGTTGCCGTATATTAAGTGTTTTAAGAACTGATAATCTAGAATAAATCATTAGGAGTGATTGTGAACTTATGTAATAATGGTTATTTATCCATTTATTATTATTTTTAATGTACTTTTAATAAATTATTAATCACTTCTTCTTTCTTTCAACTCCGAGTGTTTATCCTCCTCTACCAGTGGTTTTGGTGTGTTGTCCTCTGACTCTCAATCCCCAATGATGTCTCAAACCACGATTACACCTTAACTTAATTTAATTGAAATACTTGATTTTCTTCATTCTTTCTAAATCTTCTCTTAATTTGGTTTCCAATTCATTTGTTGTGACTTAATAATTTTTGCCATCCTTGAAATCTCTTTATCTATTCAAAAACCATCTTGGAATGTTATAAGCTTCTGGGGATTTGATGACTTCTGTGATTTTGTGAGCTTCATCATCAGTCAATTCACCAGCTCTCTTTGTAAGATCAAGACGGAGGACCTATAGATTATTAAATTATATGCTTAATTACCTTGCAAATTTAGATAGCAAATCTTCTTCCGATACCCTTGATACTTCTAATACCATAAGCAAGTCTTTATTTTCCTTCAACGTTTGTATTCAATATACGAATAATGTGTCTGAATGAATCAGCCTTCTCCAACACCAAAGACATTTATTTGTATAAAAGATTTAATTTAATTTAAAATTTTAATGGCTGCTCGATTGTATGCAAATATTGCATGACATAAACTCATTTCTTTCCCTAATTCTATTTTTTTATAAACATCCATCATATATAAATTACTTCCAATTTATTCATCTTAATCAATCATATAGATTTCTCTATTAAATATAATACAAAATATATCTAATTAAGAAAATACTAAGTTTTCTTTTGCTAACATATACAAATATTATCAAATAAATCCTAGTAATTTACAAATCATTACTTTATTTTTTATTATTTCATTTGAAACAACTGAGAAAATAGTTAATTTAATTAAGTAATATTATAGAATGATACAATTTTATAAATCGATAATTAATAAAATGATTTTATATTCATTTTCTACCAAACTTAATCTTTTATAAAAGATAATCACATAAAACTATAGGTATTCTATTTTTATCTTCTTCCAAAGTAACCAATCTTTCAATACATTCATCATGTGTATATATCAAAAATTCTATTGTTCCTTCATTATTTCTTAAATAATTTTACATAACCCTTTTCTGAACTTCTCTCCTTATGAGGTATCAATTTTTGTTTTTCAATTTCCATACTCTATTTAAGTTGTTCTTCAATTATTTTAGTTGTTTTTAAATTAATCTTTTGAGAAGACTTCAGATTCTTTTTTTAATGTTATTCTAATCCCCATTGATTTATAAGTTAGAACATATCTGGTTTAAATTGAATCATTGGTTCATAAGTAATTGAATCTGTATTCCATTTTCTTCTATATTCAATTCGTTCTTCTATTTTTTTTAAAAAACTAAAATAGGGTGTTTAATTTACATATATATTAAATAATAACAGATATATATCTATTATATAAATTATATATAACAGACAAAAATAATCAAGAATGCACAAAGACTTTAATTACGCAATTGAAATTATGGAGATAGAGAAATTAAAATTGCATGAATAAATTGATTATCTTTAGTAATAAATATAACAATTGACAAATGAATATAGTGATAAGATTTTAGAAAAAGATGAAGAATTAGTTACAGCCTTTATAAAAATGCAATAAGCAGAAAGATTAAATAATGAATTAGTTTAAAAATTATAATCAACAAAAAAAAATGAAGAATAACTTAATAATGCAAATTATAATTTCATTACTCTACAAAGAAAATTAGATCATCAAATTTAAGAAAATTAAAAACTAGAATAAAAAGTAAAATTACTATAGGAATAGAGCATGCAATTCTAATAAAAATGGTAAAGAGTTTCAATGCAATTAAAATAATAAACAACTCAAAAAATAAGTGCTAGAACAATAGAATAATAATTAAGTCTCAAATAGGATGAGTGTTAATAACTTAAAGAGAAATTAGTTCAATATCAATTAGAATTAACTATTGTCAAATAGAGTGATTAAGAGTATAAGTAATCTATTCATTAGAAAATGTAAGTACTTTATTAGGAATTGACAGAAGCTTAATAAAAATTATAATAAAATTAATATATTTCATAATAACACAAATAAGAATGCTAATAATGTGAGTATTATAGAAATCAAAATGAATAATTAAAGTAAATGATCAATTAAGATTAAATCTCATAAGAATAAAATAGAATAAATAATTAAATTGTATTATATTTAATATTATAAATAGAATTAACAATAGTAATAGTAAATGAAAGAATACTAAAATAGACTTATGGAATTGGAGTATGAAAATTAAAATTTAAAGTTATAGATCTAATTACCTGAATCTATAAGTAATCTAAAAAATCATGATTGTCTCAACATTAAATCTATTATTAATCATCCTTTATACATAAAGATGACAAAATTGGTTGAGTAATTAACTAATCAAACCTAATAAGAATTATTTAGAAAATCATTACATGAGCTAGGATTAGAAATTGAAAAACGAGAAAATAAAGAATAATAATTATAGGAGTGTAGAACTATGTATGATAGATTATTAATTAAATATTATGCATTACAAAAGAGTATTAATAAAATTGAAGAGAATTCTAATAATAATAATAATCATAATAATAATAATAATCATAATAATAATAATAATAATAATAATTACTATGCAACTTAATAAATTACATCATCTAAATAATAAACTTAATAAAAGAAGACAAATTAATTGGATTCCTTTTTATAAGAATAGGAAACAACTAAATAAATGAAATAATCAATATTTTCTAATACACCAAAATAGAGAGTCAATAATAAACTAAATTTAAGTTTAGATAGTTGTTAATTTAAAAAATGATATTTATTTATAACTAATATTCATATTATTTGTTTTTTCCAAATATTTTAACGAATAATTATTTAATTTTAAATATGCAATATTGTTAGATTCACAATCCTCAATTCTAATAAACTTAATTTCAATAAACTTCATAATAACAATAATAATAAATGTTACCTTAGCATATTATTCTAATAAATAAATATAAAAACAAAAAAAAAGCTTACAAAGGTATCATCATAATATTTGATCGTAGAGTCTTTAAATGATTTAAGAAATCAAATGAAAGTAATTTTAGATAAATAATTACATTAAGAGTAAGAATTAACTCAATTAAAAACCTTATATCATTTAGATAAAGAGTAATGGTTATAAGAAAAGAAGATCTTGAATTCAATGTTACCAAAAAAAGATTTTAATTTAGATGGATTATAAAAAGAAAAGAAATCTTATAAGGAAAAGAAATAAATACTTAAAAATGAATTATAACAATATAAATAGTATTTCGAAATTTAAGAAGGGAAATTATAGGAAATTTTACTTGAAAACTCAAAATTAAAAGCAATATTAAATGGAAGAGATTAAGAATGTTTAGCTTTATAATAAGAAGTTGAATACTATTAAAAGAGATTAATTTAATTGTAAAGATAGTGATGATAAGAATATTTAATTATTTATAACATCATTTTTATTGTTTGTTTTAAAATAATCGTTACAATTTTTCTTCAATATCCTTATCTAACATTAAATTATTTTTTATTTGATTAATCTCTACTATTTACACTTATGCTTATACTTATTATGATTGATCCTCTTCTATTTCTGTTTCCAATCTTATATCATCAATTAATTGAACATTATCAGTAAATATAATCATATCATCTTATTATTCCCTTCTGATCCATGGAGCTTCAGGTTTATTTTCAACAGACAAAGGCTAATATATGATTATAATGAAATACTCCAATATTTTAAATTAACTATTTATCAAATATAATTGATAATGATGGAGGAGATAATTTTGGCAAACTAAAAGATAATCTAATTTTTAATCCATCAATAAATATGATAGGAACTTAGAAGCAAATAATATTTTCTTTTGGTTCATCATACAAACAAATCACTCTTTAATAATCAATAGGATGTTAATTCTTTATTAAGATTTATTCAATATGCATTAAGAGAACTTATAAACCTTCCTATTTAGCTTCATTTATATTTTCAATCAATTATTTACATTTCTCTTTAGCTTTTTTAAATTATTTTAAAATAACTAAGCAAATTAATTCATTAAATTTGATCTCTAAGATTTCTAATAAGTCAGCATCCTCCTCATCTTCTGTAAGTTCAAACTATTCATCATCATTAAATAAATCTGTTTAGCTTCCTCTTTATCTTAATCTTTTTTCAGTTATCGAAAGTTCCTTTTAACTTTTGGCCATTTAAAAATCCTTTAAAGCTTCTTCATATTTTTCTTAATGAAATAAAAATACTCCTCTAAATATATAAACGTGGAATTATTAAAATAACCTCCCCTTTCCTCTAGTTAATTAAGTTAAATTATTCACAGCCTTATTTAAATTAGTTTTAAATTCAATTTACTCAGTTTCACTTTCTTCATTAAAATAAATTTATTAATCATCTTTAAAGACTAATCTCAAAGCTGATAAAATATCTTTATCAAATTCAGCAGTTTAATCTTTACTCAATTTGTAAAGTCTATTGATATCTTCTTAACAAAGACTCAAATCACTTAAAATCAAATAGCATTCTGATCTTAATTGTAACAATTTAGGATTATTTTTAATATCTTTATTATTAGAATATGCTTTAATTGCATCCTCTATAGCAGAATTTGCAAATAAGAAATTACCAGCCCAAACATGCATTCTTGGATCATCTTATAATATATGAATACATTATTATAAATCCTAAAAAGCAGAATTTGAATCTCCACTTAAAAAATGACATTTAGCTCTATTTAAATATGCATCAGCAAAAGTTTCATCTAATGTTAAACAGATACTAAAATCATTTATAGAATGTTAATATTCTTTTAGAATTCCATATACCATTCCTCTAAAATAAAAATATTTAGCAACATTATCTTCAGACTTTTGAATAGCACTTTCAATATCTCCCAAAGCTTCATTAATTTATCCCATAAAACATTTTACTATAGATCTAACATAATATAAATTAGCATTTTAATCATTTAAATTTTGTGCCTTATCTAACAATTCTAATCCCTTTATAAGATCTTTATATTAATCACTTTTTTTTTTAAATGATTAATTTATTAATGTTACACCTTAATAAAAAGTAGGTTCCATTTTTTTTTAGAATATCTTTTAGGCTCTTTAAAAGAATTCCATTCCAGCATTAAATTATCCAGCTTAAATTTTTAAGATTCCCTCACATAAAAATCTATTATAATGAACACTAGGTTCTGCTGGTTGAATATCTAATAAATATTTATAATCTTCCAAAGCTTTTTAATGTTTAGACAAACAAAATTAACCATAAGCTCTATAAGCATAAAACAAAGGTTTAAGAAAATCATTTAATTAATGATGATTTTAAATTTCTTAAAAATTGTTTAAACTCTCTTGAAATTTTCTCTTCATTAAATGTATTACAGCCTATTATTAATTTTATTTAATAAAATACTTCAGTAAATAATTGAAATTTCTCTAAGTAACTTTTTTCAGTATCTAAAAGTGCTGATCTATTTAAAGTATGAAATGCAGCATAAAAATCTCTTTATTCAATTTTCATCTTTGCAATTTCATATAGAGATTTAGTAACAGCTTTTTTAGAATTATTATGTTTTATAGCTTACTCGAAACATAATAAGGCTTCAGTTGTATTCTCTAGAATTTATATTTAAAGTACTTGTTTTTAGTCTACATAATCCTTTAAAATAATAAGCCTCAGAATTAATTGGGTCAGTTTCTATTAGTTTACTTAAATCTTTAGCACATTCATCATATTATTAACTTTCATAAAGTGTTATAGCTTTTTTTAGTAAAGCAGCATTACCAACAGCTTATTCACAATTTATAGCTTTTTAATAATATGATATAGCTTCCTTATATTAATTTTATATTCTTAAACAATCAGCTTTTCCCAAATATCCTAATCCTTTTTGAGGACTAAGTTGAATAGCCATATTAAAATCTGATTCTGCTTTTTCAATTTAATTAAGTTTTGTATACAATTTACCTCTATAAATGAAGGCATCATAATATCTTGAAAATAATTATATGACTTTATTTAGAATTGAAATTGCTGAATCCAATTCGTTAAGTTTTTTATGAGAAATTGCTAATAATAAATAAATATTCTTTCTATGTGTAGCATCCTATTAAATTACATATTAAAATTCTGTAATTGCTTTTTAATATAGTTATTATCCAAGATAACCAATACCCAAAAAGTAATGTCCTTCCAATATTCTGATATCACATTCTATACATTTTTTTAATTGTCTAATATTATTTAATTTGATACTCAATAGCCTCTTCAATTTGCTTTTCTCTTAATAATTATTTTCCCTTTTCTAAGAACTTAATAGCTCTAGGGTTATAATCATCTAAAGGTTTAGTTGTATCACTCTAAAACCCACTATGATCTTAATAACCTTTAATGAGATTGTTCTCAAAACTCAAATCAACTGTTTGTTATCCATCCATACTATTATTATTGATTTTTGATTATTTCTTTTGCATTGTTTAAGAGAGTTTCTGTTGATTAGGAAGGTACCAATTTTGTATTTAATTATTGATTGGATTTTACTTCTTCCTATCATGATAATAAACTTCTACGTGACTTTGCAAAAACTATCATTACGCCTTGTATTATTGAACAAAATATTAAACAATTAATTTTGAGCCTTCTTTTCTTGACTAAAATTAGAATTCTGCCTCTTTTTATGATGTTATTCCAAATTTTCACCACTTGAAATATTAAAAGAATTTTATCTTGTTGCATAAGGTTGAGATTATTTTTTATAATGTGGTGTTGGATTTTCAGACACAAAGGGTTCAACATGTGACTTTGTAGGTGAAAAAGGTTATTTTGGAAAGAATGATCCCACTTTGTTTTTAACTGTTTGTGGAGGCTTTTTAGCACTATATTACATAAATTTTGAATTTTTAATATAATCCCATAAGTATTTTATTAATTTATTAACTGATAATGATATTTAGTGGATCACTTAGAACTACAACTCCAGAATAAAAGTCTTAAATACGCACTAAAAAACATTTTGAAGTCAAGCAAGATTTAGAAGAACAATTATAATCTCTCAAATATTTAAACAATTAGAAAATCATTTAATGTATTAAAACGAAAAAACATATTTAACCAATTTACAAAGATGATAATATCAATACAAGCAGGTTGAGAAGATCAACTTCTCCTTTATAAAATAGTTAATTAGATAGAAATTTAGTGCCTAAAATTGATAATACTCCTAAAACACCTTAAAAATCAAGACTTTATTCTAAGGTATTTAATAATTCATGTTCATTTGAAAATATTTGTTTAAAACAATGTCTTAATTGTAAATCTAACAATAAAGAGAATATGCGTATATAATCATCTCCAATTAAGATGACACAATCTGTTTTAAGAATAGAACCTTAAACTTGTCTTACAAGTAAAGGGAACTATTTTAAAAAATGAAATATATATTATATATATACTAAAAGTTAATTTTATTCATAATGCTTTAAGGGTTAAATTAAATAATAATTATTATGTTTAAATAGAGAATAGATAGATATTCATTTATATTAAAAATCATATAGTAAAATGAATACTTAAAATAATTAAGAATTGCAAGGTTTATTCTACTTTTTTGATTATAATTATAAAAAATAAAATTGATCATAAATTTACATGTGTTTAATCATCAATTAAATTTTATTCCTTAATTTTTTATCAATTTGTTGAAATATTCTTAATTACAGGATGACTGACGTTCCACAGATTTATTATTTTAAGCTATAGATAATCTATTAAGACTAGGTTAGTTTCTTTTGAATTTAATTAATTTTTTAAAATCTGCATTTTTTTGTAAGATTGCTGTCATCCTAAAACTTTTTGATACTCTATTAAGTAAAGTTAATAACATAGTCAATGTTTCATCTTCACTTAATAATTCAGGATCAAATGTTTTATTTTTTAAAGATTATGAATCAGATTAAAATGTTTCATTCTTTGGAGAAAATAAAGTGAATGTGGCTCTAGTTTTATTGATTTCAGATTCAAGATTTTATATTTTGGATTTTAATTCAGTAATAGATTCTGACTCTTTTTAATGACATAATTTATTGAATTTTTTTTTATACTCGTTTTCTAGTGACAAATTTTCTATAATCTATTGTTATTGAATATTAATTGTATGCAATTATTAAATAGTTTAAGCATTCATTTATAATTAGAGATTCTTTTCCTAAATTTCGTTTGTTAAATGGTTTGTCTGTTTATTTAAAAGTGCTATTTAATTTATTTAAGATTCGATTTCCTATCTTTAATGTTCAACTTACTATTATAATTAAGAAATTTAATGAAGTAGATTCTTTTATTATGTATTCTTATTAATCTTCTCTTTATTTATGATTTCTTGAGGATCAAATTAATTAAAAGCATTCAGATATAAATTTGCTCTTGGTTAGATAGCAGTTTATTCTTGGTTTTGGGTCTTTTTCAAGATTTTCATGACTTAATCTTTTGTTAAGGAACTCTCTTTTTTGGTCTATCTTGCTGATTGTTAAGATAGCGAAGATACTGTAATATCTGGGACTGGAATACAATCTATAGCTTTGATCAAATCGCGATTCGACTATTGAAAGTATAAGCGATTGTTACTGTTATATATTCATCCATTGTTAAATTATTTTAAATTTAATATGCTTAACGAAAAAGTCATAGGAGAATATGTTTATTTAGTATCTGATGAATGCAAAGTAGGAGTTGGTTAATTCAGTCATGTTTATAAAGGATATCATGAGAAGACTAAGAAACTAGTGGCAATTAAGCAGATTGACAAAAAACAAACTAAAGGTATTTTTGAATAGATGCTTCGAAATGAAATCAGTATACTTAAACAATTAGATCATTAATATATACTAAAGATGGATGCATATTATGAAACACCAAACAATTATTATATAATAACAGAATTTTGTGAAACAGGTAAACTATTTATCAATAAAACAATAGACATTCTATAAATAATAAAATAAAAAGGTTCATTGCCTGAAAATACAGTAATTAATTATGTAATACAAATTAGTGAAGCATTGAAGTACTTAAATTCAAAAAGTAAATTATGTATTCTTAATTATAGAAATTGTTCACAGAGATATTAAACCATCTAATATCCTAATCCATGAAGGTGAAGTGAGATTGGCTGATTTTGGATTTGCAATTCATTAAGACAAAGTTGGAATTGAAGATAGACAATTTTAGATTGGATCTCCATTATATATGTCTCCAGAAACATTAATAAAAAATGAATACAATCATAGAACAGATCTATGGTCTTTAGGTGTTTTATTTTTTGAAATGATTTTTGGTATCTCCTATCATTATTATAAAGGTGTTGTTCCTTTCTACTCTACTGAAATGGATGATTTAATCAGAAAATTACAACAATATCAAAAGGATTATAGATTGATATTCAAATATCCAATCTCTGAAGCCTCAACAGATGCTATATAGAATTTATTAGCATTCAACCCAGAACATAGGTGTGATATTAAAAAATTACAAATAATACTAAAAAATCATGATAAAAATAGAGCATTTGGAGATGCTAGTATGCATTTATAAAAACGAACTGCCACTCCTGATAAAAAAAGGAAAGTTACACCTGATTAAAGTCCAGAAAATAGAAGCAAAGTATAATTAGCAAAAAAGGAATTAGTAAAAGTAAGTTGTCCTGCTTAATTCTTTGATAAAAAATCTACCTATTTTGTTAAAAATAAACCAAATAAAGAAGATGATTAATAAAATTCAAAGAGAGAGGAAAATCTAGGAACAGATAGAAAGGATAATGTAACAGCTCAAGAAATCTCAATTATAAGATTACATGATTAAAAACCATAAAATAATGAAATTACCCAAGAGAACATGAATAATGAAGAGTTTTTAGCCTTTCTCATTAAAAAATTAGAATCTGCAAAAAGATAGGATACAAATTAAAATAAATAAATTAACGAGTGTTAATTTTTGTTAGTATGAATTTTTTACATATAAGTATCAATACTATGGGAAAGATCAAAATATGCTCTAAAGTTTGAAAAATAAGGAAATGCCTAGTTGAATATATAAACTGTTCATTGAAACGTATTTCTATATTTAATAGATAAAATTTAAATTATTAATCTAATTTATTATAGATAATAGATTCTAGATTTAATTGGTTTATTTTAATCAAATAAAAATAGAGTAAGAATCTTAAGCTAATTTTATTTTTTAAATTCACACATAGTTTTAAAAATCTAATAACAATATAGCTTTGTTTAAAATAATAATTCACTTATTCATTCTACTAATGATAACTCAAAAAGGATTTATGAAAGCAAAGGTGTAACTGTTTCATCAGATGCAGCAACTAAAAATAATTCCCTCAAATAAAAATTAATATATTTACTTTTCAAAAATAAGCAAATATTATTTTGCAGCAGGAGCTTATGATATATTATTGAGAGTGATAGCTGCTAATTTGACATGTTTTTCATTGATTTTATCCTGATTATTTCTTTATTCTTATTATTTTAGAGAATTGATTTTAATTTATCCAATACTCAAAATGGCAACTAGTCTTTATAATATTTTAGGATGTTTAGCTATGGATAATCTGGTTGTCATTTTTAAATCACTTAAGTAACAGAAAAACTCTAAAACAATTTCTCTTAATTCTTAATTTTGATATATTAATAATCTTGCTAATTAATCTATATATTCTCCTATAGCTCCTTCAATAATTGCTTCATTATCAGAAATAGATATCATATTTCTAAAAGTTTCAGTGACTAGACCTATATCTTCATATGATTCACCATTTAGTATTTCTATTAATTTTTACATAAAGGCATCCATATAGACTGATTATTTTAGATGTATATGTTTGGATAAGATTGAAAATATTTCTAATGTTGATTTAGATAATTCTTAATCTGCTCCAGACAAAAGTATTTAATAAAAAAAGGATAATAATTTATCTTGTTTCATAAAACAAGTTTCATTAGATCTAATCATAACCAAATTTCTCAAAGTTACAAATAAAGTTCTCAATTTTTCCAAATGTTTACACTCTGCTTTTTTTTCATAATTCCCTTAAATTAAATCAATATATTTTTTCTTATAGATTAATTCACTAGGTTTCACCATTTCAGTCATTTGATCATTCATAATAAATGATATATGAGAATTATAATTTTCTTATACATTCTGATTTTTAATTAAATCAGTTTGAACTTGCATTGATTTTCTTTATGATTATCCTAAATTCTCTAATTATTGTTATCCTACTGTTTAAAGACAAGTTTTAAAAGAATAAGATTTATTTAGGTAACTAATTTATTTAATAGTATCTTCAATATAAGAAGTAATAGTATCAAGTAATTGTGGATATTAATCAATGAGAAAGCTTTGCTAATATAATTAATATTAATAGTAATACTGAATAATTGCAAGAATACATTAATAAATTATTAATGGCAAATGTAAGTTCATCATCAATTCTACTTTCAAAAGCAAGCATAATTCTTTTAACTTCACTTGCTTATGCTTATATTTTTGATTTCTTTATAAAAAATATGGTTTCTGATTTTTCTACTTTTTAATAATTTTAATTCAAAAGTGTACTAAGAGGTTATCCACTAAATTCTAATTAATGTTATCTATCTTCTGCTTCTACACTTTTTAATAGATATTATTATTACGCATAACTAGCTTATTAAACTTCTTCTTCAAAACCTATTTTAGCTTTCTTTCTATTTGAGCTCATTTCTTCATCATATATATAACCATCTTCTTTTCCAAAGAAATATTTTTATTCATATGCCAATAACAATTTTTAATAATGATTTCTTAGAGTAAATGAGGCTGATGTACATGTGGCTGGAAAAGAGAATTGATCTACGATTTCCTTTTCAGATCAAAATTAAATTTTACTTTCCATAATTTATTGGCTGATACAACTTTTAAACCTCCTCTTTTTGTGACCGCTTTATATAATTTAAAAACTTCCAATTCTCTACCACCAATTTAAGGTATTTTAATAGTTACACCTCTTTATTCCCAAAATTTTTGTAATTATTATATGAATACTTTCTCTTCTTCCCTCTCTTCCATTTATTATTATATATTTTATATAAAAAATATATAAATAAAAAATTTATTGTAAACATCTCTCAAAATACATAAATCAATTTCATTGCTGTTTACTTTACTATTTAGTGTTTTAAAATAATCATGTTTAAGAAATGTAAACAATAATACTAAATAAATACATATTAATTTTAACCGAAAAATAAATAACCAAAAAAATATGAAAAGTATTCAACAACCAAGTCAAGTCTCTTTAGTTAATAGATAATTCTCTCTTCAAAAAGATATTGGAAATTTTACAATGTAATCTCCAGATAAATAAATCTATTGTCCTAAAACATCATCATAAGCTAAAATATTAACATATGGCCATTCTCCTTATATGTAATCACCCTTGTTTGATGGAAAATGTATAAACTAAAATAATATTACAATTTAATTATCTCCACCTTAAAAATTAGAGATTTCCTCTTAATACAAACTTAATACAAAGACTTTGAGTCAAAATTATGATGTACTTAAACCATATAATCAACAAGAAACAATAAAAACATAAAATGATTTGAAACCAAATTATGGAAAATGTAAATAGGAAAATCATAAAACACATGCAAACTTTTAATGTGAAATCAATAAAGATACTACAACAGATAGAAAAAGTAATACGTTTAAAAAAAATGAAACTATTTTAGAAAGTAAAGAAAATTATGGATTAACTACAAAATCTCCAATTATTGATCATCATAATACTGTGGGAAATAGTAGGTTATCATCTTAAAATTTTGGATTTTTATAATAGAAACCAAAAATATCAACAGAAATAACAAAGATTTCTGGATAATTAAGAGATTTGATGTCAAATGTTTAAAGATTTGTTAATAATGGTAAAATGCCAGATATTATTAATGATAAAATGATTGAAATATTAGCTACATTTAGAAAAGTTGAAGAATTATCTAATGTTGAGCCTAATGAAAATGAATCAAAAACATTAAATATGGCAGAAGATTATAATAGACTTAAGACTATACTTGAATAATTATAAATAAAAATGACTGCTTTGGTCTAAGAGAATTAAAAAGTATTTAAAAATATTAATCTCATAGTTAAATAAAAATTTGATTTAACAAGAATAAAAAGTAAATGAAGAATAAAATAAAAGACTATAAGCTGAAGAAAAAGCAAATTAAACAAATAAAGAATTCAATAGAGTATTTGAATGTTTACAAATAAATTAAAAAGAGAATGAAGAACTCAAGATGAAATTATAATAAAAAGATTCTGTTAATAGTTTAAAGATTTATCAAAACAACATCACTAATGATGATATACAGGATTATAAACAAAGAAATTTATAATTAAAAAAAGATTATGAATAATTAGAAAGTAAATATAAGTAGTTATTGTCTGAAAAAGCAAATTCAAAAGAATTACCTAAATCTCCTTTAATAATGAAATCAATTCATTCAAGTACTTCAAAATAATAAGAATAATTAGAGCTTAAATTATTATAATTATAAATTGAAAATGATAATTTAAAAGCAGATATGGCTCATAATTAAGTTGATTCTAAGGCTATTGATAACAAAAATGAAATGATCTAAAAGTTAGATGAAAAAATTAAATCTATTTTAAAAGAAAAAGCAATTTCTGAAGAATAATAAAATTAGATTTGTCATAATTTAGAAATCTTAAATGAATAATTAAAGAATACATTATTAGTTAAGGAAAATGAGATTTCTACTTAATTAAAATAAAGAAATGAAATGGAAAGAGAATTAAAAGGATAGATTAATAATCATACTCAATAATTAAAAGTATTGGAGGATAAATTATAAGTCTCAAAATAAGATTATTAAAAATTGTTAGATGAATTTAAATCTATGGATATTAGAAAGAATAAAATATAAGAAGAATATAAAATAAATGAAAAAAAGCTAGAAAAATTAAATTAAGAGATTTAGTTTTAAAATTAAGAATTAAAAAAAACTCTTGAGAATAATAAAACTTTAAATATAAAAAATGATTAAATAAATCAACAATTGTAATAGTAAAATAAAGTATAATAATAATTACTTCAATAAATTGAAGGGTAAAAATAAACTGAAAATGCTTTAAGGATAGAATGTGATAGATTAAATAAAATGAATTAAGCAACTCAATAAGATATGAAATATCAAGTAACAGAATTAAATGAGATGATTTAATTATAAGGAAGAAGAACTCAAGAGAAAGAAAATTAATTAAATGAATTACTTGAAGAAATGAGAGATATGAAGGATTAATATGAGATATAAAAGAAAGTTTGTTAAGAAAGTATTAATGATTTAGAAAGAAGATTAAATAATTCAAAATTATAAAATGAAGAACTATTATAAGTAAAAGAATAAGAAATTATAGACTATAAATTAATAATGGAATAATAATTACAAATGCTTGATAAAAGAAATGCATTATCATCTTATGATTTTGATTAAAGGGAACAATAATTTTAAGTTGAAATTCAAAGTAAAAATGAGTAATTAGATGTATTAAAGTAAGAACTAGAAAAAATAAGAAGCTAAAGCTTTAATACATAAGAAGAATTATTAAAAATTGGAATTTAATAAAACCAAAATTAAGCTACTATAAGTAATTTAAGAAATGAATTAAATTAATCAAAATAAGAATAATAACACTTGATTGAAATGTTGAAGAAGAGAAAGGAAGAAGTAGAATAATTACATTTTAGTTTAGAAGAAATGAGAAAAGAATAATAAAATAAAAAGTAACAACAAGATGATAATAGAAGTAATTAATTATATAAATTTATATAGGATCTATATAGAGATAGTAAGATCTTCAAATTATAATTGAAAATCTTTAAAAAGATAATATAAATCTTTAGTAAAAATTAAATACTTTGTAAAATGAATATAATAGAAAATAAAGGGAATTAAATGAGAAAAATGATGAATTTTTAAATATTAAAAGAAAATATGATGAAACAGTTTAGAATTTAGAGAGATTAGAAAAAAGATGGGGTGAAAAAATTGATTAACATAGAAGAATTTGAATTATATTAGTTATAATTATTATATATCAAATTTCTAATTTTTCAAATAATTCTTAATTATAAATTTGATTCCATGATGCTGGAAATGATTAATTTTGCAAATATGATAAAATAATTTTTAATTATGTTTTTAATTTATTTGTATTGTTTGTTTTAATTCCAAATTATTCAGATAGTTTCTTAAGATTTGTTATATCATTTAGATCATCAAAATTCTATAATATATCTGATTTATAACTAAAATAGTCAAACAGTTCTTTTTTAACTTTGATTTAATTTTCTTGTTTTTCTGGTATGTATTCTTAGTAGTCATTTATTTGATAAAATATTTCTTAGTTTGTAATTGACTCTTCTTGGATAGGTTCATTGGGCATTTTAAAAACCATATGGGGTATGTCTGGTTAATCACTATATTAGTAAAATGTATTGAACTTAATTGATAATTCTCGTAATTTGTCTTCAATTAATTACTTTTTTATTTCAAATTCGGCAATTTACTTAGAAAGATGAGTGTGTTCATTTCTCAATTGTTATACAAGTTCTTAAGAGTCCTTAACTGAAAGTATATAATTTTCTCCTTGTTTTTTGTATTTAAATAATTTTGAAGACATTATTAAAAAATAAATGCTTTAAGCTAACCTGAATTTTTAAGAACTTACATTAGAAAAGGATGATGATTAATTATTTTAGGATTTAAATTAAGTTAATTCATAAAATTTGGAAGATGATATTGAACAATCAGATGATACAGATGATGACTTTTTAGATTGTTTTAGATGTAATTAACTATTAAATATGAATAGATTCTGTGATTATTTCACCATTTAGATAGTAAATGAAACCTTAAACTTTGTAGCCACAATTTAATTAAGATTACTAAATAAATCCTTTATGCATAAAAGATGATTCAAGAACAACTTTAATGTTGAAGAATATACCTCTTGAATATAGTTTAAAAGATTTGATTATTGAAATAAATGCTTTTGTAAAAGGAAAGTATAACTATTTATATATGCCATATGATTAGATTGTAAACTTTATTATTCTAATTAAGAAAAATTGTAATATAGGTTATGCTTTCATAAACTTAATTACAACTAATGATGTTGAATATTTCTATAAAAAATTTGATTAGAAGAAATGGTAATTAAACCCAGATAAAATATGCACTCTTCGTTATGCAAAAAATTAATTAAATAATTATTGATAACTTATTTAATATAATATTTTTTATTTATTAATCATAAGACTTATACTTATTTTATGTTGCATATGAATTAAACAAAATGAAATCAAAAAGTTATTATTTAAAAATTTAATTAACTACTAAATGGAAAAAGAGTAAACATTTGTGTTAATCAAACCTGATGGTGTTTAGAGAAGAATCATAGGAAGAATAATATAGAGATTTGAAGATAAAGGATTTTCTATGGTTGCCATGAAGATGTTAATACCAAATTAAGAATTATTATAAAAACATTATGAAGAGTTAATGTTTAAACCTTTCTTTCCTTGTTTGATCTGTTATATGTTATCAGGACCAGTAATTGCTATGATTTGGTAAGGAAAAGATGGTATTGTATAATTTAAATTAATTAGTTGTTAGATAAATACGTTCTATGCTTGGAGAAGGTAGAAATCCTATTGAATAGAAACCAGGAACAATTAGAGCTGATTATGCACTTGAATTATAAAGAAATTTAATTCATGGAAGTGATTCATGTGAGTCTGCTTAAAAAGAGATCAATTTATGGTTTAATTAAAAGGAAATTGTGGATTGGAAACCTTCTGATTTAAATTGGGTATGTGAATGATTACTTTAAAAACTTTCATTTTTAATTTTATCATAAATGCAAAAATCTTAACTGATTAGAGTATTGAGTGATTCGAATAAATCCTTAAATCCTTTCTCTATGTCTAGATAATTAAGTCAAGAAACACCAACAAATTAAGGAAATACTAGTTAATATTAAACAACTGACAAAGAAATTGTTCGTTTGACTAGATTAGTTGGTTCATTAAAAAAAGAAAATGAATCATTATAAATCAAAATAAAGTAATTGGAAGAGATAGATTATAAAACTAAAATTTGTGCTTTAGAATAAAAAAATAAATAGTTAGAATCTTAAATAGAAACTTTTAAAAAATTACCTATAGATTAAATAAAAACATTAATAGAAGATAATGAAAGATTAACAAGTATTGTTGAGAATTAATCAAATAAAATTAAATCACTATTAACTTAAATTGATGATTTAAAAGATTCTTCATTTCATAATGAAGGAAAAAATGAAATTATTATTTCAATGATATAAGTAAATTATCCTATATATAATAAAGGAACTTGAAAATTAGAAATTATATGTTCAAGATGAATACAAGAGATATTAAATAATGAATAAAGAAAAATAAACTCTTTATATTGAATTATAAATGGCAAAACAATAAATTAAGGATCTTAATCAAACAATTGAGAAAATTAAAATGATTAATTTAGAGAGTAGTGAACCATGTGATATACTTCATTAGGATTATTTGAAAAGTCATGAAGCAGTATTAAATTTCGTTAAAAATTAATATTGATTTATCAAAATTAAAGATCATATATTAAAATTATTATTATTTATTAAAATATTATGAGTAAAGTTTCTAGGTTTAGTAATATAAAGAATGAGATGGAGAAATAATAACATTTGGATAATATAAACTAGAAATCCAAAAAATAATAAGTTGTTTTCAATAATCCTTTTTTTAAATAATAAGATGATTAAGATGAATAAGAGAATTTTATAGAGAGCAAAATTTAATAATTATAAGATGTATAAGTAGTTATTCCTAAAGAACTTAACTTATAAATACAACATAAAGTTAAAAGTCATATTATTGATCATAAATTAAAAAACAATTATGATTATGTTAGATTAAAATATATTATTCGTATTTGGAGAGAACAATCTATAAAATTGAAAATATCAGAAGAATAAGCCAAATAATAATTATTTAAAGCAGCTAAAGAAAATATGATTGATGATATGATTAAAAATTAAAAATATGAAAAGTTGAGATAATAATAAGAATAAGAAAAAATCATAGAAGCTTAAGAAGATGAAAAATCTTAAATGTTAGAATTAGAAGAAAGAGTAAAATAAAAAAAATAAACAGGAACAGCTAAACCTGAATAATAAATGGCTGCTCAAAGTCAAGTAGATTCTTTTGAACAAAAGAATGATTTATTCAAAATGCCAGATTAAGACTTAATACAATATATTCCATATTGCACAGACATTTATTTAGGTAAAGATTGAATCTTTTATTTACTAAAATACAATATTTATTAATGCTTTATTAATTGATTATATTTTTATGTTGTAAACCAATTCCAATAAGCTTAATAATTTAGAGAAACTTATCAAACTTCTCTCAAAATCAAATAGAGATTTTAATGAAAATGAAATCATTCTCTAAATATTATTATCATATCAATATTTTAAATATTTTTATGATATCCTTATTCAACAATTACCTTTGGATCGCATTATATTAGTATTGCTTTTGTAAATAATTAGATGATGGATTCATTAAAATTAGAAACTTTCAAGGAGAATTCTCTTATTTTTTAAGAGAAGGATCCATCAAATTCCAAAATATACCTTATCCTGTCTGGTTCAGTCTATTTATTAAGAAATAAACCTTTGCAATAGTTTTATTTTAATTCTACAAAGTACTAATAACTCTATTAAAGTTCAAACTTTTATAATAAATATGGTTATATAGTTAGGGAATTGAGATGTGGAGATGGTTTTGGTGATAAAAGTTTCTTGACAAATTAACCAAGATCCTTATCAGCAATATCAATTGAAAAATTAGAATTATTGATATTGGATAATTCGTTTTTAAAAGGATTTGAGTCTGCAATAAATTAATCATAACTTAAAGCTAAAACATTAATCTTTAACTTTTTTCCATCTGTAATATATTTATGCAAGCATAGATTAAATCAAGTTATTCTAATGCCAGACTTGAATCTATTTTTTATAGTTTTTAGGTAAAAATAATTTAGATCTTTTAAATAGTACATTTATTTAGCACGTGATGAAATACTATTTGAAGAAGGTAATAATGGAAATGAAATTTACATATTATAATAAGGAAATTGTATGATTCAAAAAAGGTTTTAAAATGAAAATATTTCAATTACAATTTAAGATAATAATTGTTTATTTGGAGAAGAGATATTTTTTTGTTAAAAATATGATTATACTATTAAAGTCTAATCTATTTAAGCATGTTTTTTAAAAATCAAGATTTAAGATTTTGTAACTTTTCTTCCTGAGGAATGTAAAAAAGTGTTGAAATAACATTATGATATTCATAAAAAAAATGATAGATTTCGTTTATATTAATTGGCAGTTGAAAGGAATTAAAAATAACTAGAAGTTTAAAGATTAAAATTGGAGTAAAATTTAGAATTTAATATATATTAGATCTAAGTAATCTTAAAAATTACAAAAATAATTAAATATGTAAAGTTATTCATAGAGTGAAACAGAATTATAAATGAGATTTGACAAGGACATTTCAAATTTTAGAAATTTTATATCTGTTAGAACTAGTTCTCTCTATTTTAATTCAACAAGAGGATTTTAAGCTTAAAAATTTAATAATTATTCTCCATCATTTATAATAGATTAATAATATAAATTATTAAAAGAACCATTAAATCCAATTAATAGTCCATTAGATTTTGGTAAAGGAGAAGCTGAAGAAATGAGAAAAAGAACTTAAGTTTAATTATGTGTAATGAGTATGGAAAAAATCAATTATTTAAATTAATTTAAGTCACCAAAAGTTCATTAATTGAAAAATAGATTTTTAAAAACCTTTAAATAATAATAAAGGAAATCAGTTTCATAAATGTCAATTAGTACAGCATTAACTCCAAAAAAAAGATTAAGTTATTTTTCACCAGAAGCATCAATGATGAGTTTAGGTAATTTTTGATTTTTAAATATATTTTGATATAAAAATTAAACTTTTAATCAGAGTTATTTAGCCTTATGTTTATTAAGATATCCTTTAATCTTTCCACGAAAAAATATGTATCCTAAAAATCCAAAAGTTGAGATAACAGTCCATATATTAGATCTATATATTCCAAGCATCTTATGGCTATAATTATCATTATCAAATTCAATTTAATCTTTTACTTTTTTCATGGTGGCACATAATTAAAAAACTCTTTATTTAGCTTATGATTTTGCAAGCATTAAGAATTCCTAATTAATTATAATATTATATAAATTACTAAAAGAGGTAATTCTTACATTCCTTTTGATGCAAGTGTATAAATAACTTTATCACATGCAGAACAATATATTTTTTATGTTATTTTTCTATATGTTTCATTTTAAATATTTTCCATTAAATTACTGCTAAAATAGAAATCAAATAATGCTTTTTTATCATCATAAACAGTTTCTATTTTTTTAATAGACTCAATTATATTCTCAAAAGTTTAATTATATAATGTGCCTTAATATACTCTATTTAAAAATAATAAAGCTAGACAAGTAAAATCAACAATCATATTCCATTCTAAAATTGGATCTTAAAAGAATGAATGTAATACTGGAATTAAATCAAAGTCTAGAAATACAGAAGATAAATTCATATATAAGTATATGAAATAAAGGAATACAAATGCTATTTAAGCTTCATTATAATCCATCCAATCATTATCTATTAATAAAGTTAATCTTCTCATATTATCCCAAGATTCTAAACTCAAATTACAACTAAAATCTAATTTATAATCTGAATTGTAAGGTAAATCATCTGGTATTTCATCTTTACCACTATCATTTTCATCTTCAATTTGATCTTGAGCTTTATTTGGTATAATCATTGTTTATAGAACATTCAAAATATATCTTTTCCCTTAGATATCATTACATTTGATTAAATCAATGAGTAAAATGATCATATTTAAATACATTCCCAAAAAACATAAAAAGAAGACAAATTCAATTTCTTGAGTATCAGTTGATTATGTTAATAAATATAATGGAAAACTTCCTTTGGCCATCAATACTGTTAAATAAATCAAAAGTATTGATGCTGGTTCTTTTTCTTATTTAACTTTGATGTAATCATAATGAGGCCATAAGAAATTATCAATAGCATGTCTATAACCACGAAAACCCAATACTCTTAATTCTTTTAATATTTTTAATTTGTTAGTTGGTTATTCAAATTATTTTCTCTCATATGGAACATCAGGTTATGCTTATAAAATTTTACGTGCTCTTTCTATTAATTCAATAATTGAATGATCACTTAATGTAATGATATCATCTATTGTACAAATACCAGGATCAGATTCAAGTGCAATATAATAGAGTGTACTATCAATATTTTCTGTTTCCATAGCATCTCTAATTTATTTATATAAATTTTCTTATTTCAATTCTTCCTATTTTTCTGTAGATAGATTTTATTGTAATAATTTTTAATACAATCTTCCAAGACCTAACTTACTCATATTTGCATCTGATATTAAAAAATCAAAATCCATTTCTTTTCTATCAATTGAAATTGTTAAAACATAAGAGGACATTAAAATTTGGGATTGTAAAAATATTAAACATGAAATTGCCCAATCTTCATAATTAATTGTCTATTTATATCTTAATCCAACTAAAATATACATCATTAAAATTGATAATGCCATTGCAAGATCACAAAGGAAGAATATTACAGCCTTTAAACCCTAAAACAAATTCTATTAAATAATTACTTGAACAATTCTGAAGAATCTAATGCTTTTGGCAATTTATCCTACATACAAATAAAGCAATTTTAAAGTAAAAACTGGCAATGCAATTGTAGCATTGAATAAATAAAGAATTGCAAAACATCGATATGGTCTCCATTCAATGCTTCTTACATCTAAATTTTCAAATAACATCTCTTTCTTATCTTCTCTTTGCCTTTCTGAATGAATTGGAGTACTCATAAATTAAGTACTTTATTCAAAATAATAATTTTATTTATTCTAAAGAATAATCACAGTTAGAGATAGTAATATCAATAATTAATCAATTATAATATGGTTATTGTTGAAGAATACAATTAAAATAATAAAATAGAAGAATTTTAATTTGAACATTATCTATAGAATATCAACTGAGACATAATTTATTATATATTATATTTTAAGTATACAAATTGATTCTCTTTTTCTTTTTATTGATTAAGTTCTTTTAAATTATTATGAAATGTGATTTTCGATTAAACAAAAAAGAATTAATTATTCTTTATTAATTATGGCAATTAAATACTTAATAATTCTACTAATTAAGAATGGGTTAATCCTTTATCACTTAGATATCTTATGATATTCTATAAACACTTTACATATTTCAGATATTTACTTAATTTGAATAGGAATAACATTATATGAAAATATTGACCTTGTATAATTGCATAATTTATAAATAAAAAAATTTAACGGATGATTTCTTTTATGGTAATGTCAAATATTTTATCTGAACAAATGAAGCAATAATATAAAAGCAAATCTGTGTTTTGGAGATAAGAAAAAGAAAAACTACTTTAAACTTTACAACCAAAACTAAATAACTAATCATAATAAAGATCAAGAACAAGTTAAAGATAGAGTAAGTATCGTTATCTAGTTGAATCATTATATCACTAAGATACTCCTGAAAATAACAAATCTATTTACAATTAATTCTAATAATAAATTAGTTCTCAATTTCAACAGCAATAATTATAAAGTTCTTCAAAAAAAAAAAAAAATGATGAACTTAGCTTTTCAACAATTATGAATAAATATTACAAATAATAAGAGGGATCTAATACTAAATAACATATTTATGACCCTTTTGCTGAATAAATAATTGAGTCTTTTTAAGAATTGAAAAAAAAGAAATCAGTCAAAATAAAAGAATTAGAAGAGTGTACATCTGATACTCAATAGATATGTAATAGTGCACGTAAAATAAATATTATTAATAAAATCAATCAAATTAGAGAATTTATTGATCAACAATTAAGTACAAATTAGGAAGACCAAAATAAAGAAATATAATAAGATAACTATAAATCCTCATATGCTGATATTAATGCTAATATTTTTAGAAATAAATCAGTTGAATCTAAATAATTTTTAGATTAAAGTTATAGAAATTCAATACCAAAAATTAATGAAGACCCACATAAAAGAAGATCTTCAAAAAGCTGTACTACATTAGATGTTGGCATTTAAGTTACATTAGTAGAT